CACCTCAAACTCCTGAAGAATTGTAAGTCCCCTGGCGAAGATGGCATACCCAATGAGGTTCTCAAATGGCTTGCGCCATCTCTGTCCTATCCCTTGTGCCTGCTCTTTAACATGTCATATCGTACAGGAGTATTTCCGTCCGTCTGGAAATCTGCTGTTATCGTCCCGATCTATAAGAAAGGCCAACGCTCTCAGGCTGGCAACTACAGACCAATCTCTCTCCTTCCCGCTGTGTCCAAGGTCTGTGAACGTATTTTCTTTGAGTCTCTGTACTGCCACGTCACCCCAGCGCTTTCACCATCTCAATCCGGTTTCTGCCGTGGAGACTCCACAACTTTCCAACTAACACGTCTAGTACAAGACATCTACACCCAGCGGAACCTCAGGCGGCATGTTGGCATCGTGTTCTTTGACCTAGCGAAAGCTTTCGACACCGTCTGGCATCGTGGTCTGCTTGCAAAGCTAGAGTCCGTCTTCTTGGTACACGGTCCAGCCCTGCAATGGCTCTCATCCTATCTTTCCTGCCGCCACCAGACTGTCAGAGTATCTACCTCCCTATCAGACCCATCACTAGTCGTGTCTGGGGTACCCCAGGGGTCCATACTTGGGCCGCTCCTATTTCTACTGTACGTTAATGACTTGCCAGCCCTTGTACCAAATGTAAGTCTTTTTGCTGACGACACTGCTCTGATGTGCTCCGACAGCTCGGCAGACAACCTCACGGCCTCCATGCAGTCCGGGGTCAACGCTACAGTAACATGGATGGAAACCTGGAAACTGAAGCCTAACCTCGCCAAAACCGAGGCCATGTTCTTCTCTCCCTCGCCCCCCACTCAACTTCTGTATTTTCCTGGTCTAAATAGTACACCTATTAAAGTTGTTAACGAGCACAAGCACCTGGGCGTTATTCTCGACCGCCAACTCTCCTGGTCTCCACAAGTCCAGTCTGTGTGCCAGCGTGCGAGTGCGCCCTTAGGTATGCTACAACCCCACTGCCAACACTTGAATGATAACTGCAGAGAATTGTTCTTTAAGTCGTACATTTTGCCTATATTTGACTATTGCGATATAGCTTGGTGCGGGTTGTCTCAGACTTTACTCCACAGACTGGAGGTACATCAACGCTTGCTTCTGAAAATTCTGTTTCGAAAAGACCAAACATTTGCCTCCCTTTGTCTTTATAAACTTGCTTCCACGCACCCTCTTCTTGCCCGACATCAGCAGCATCTTTGTATCCTTGTGCAAAAAATCTTCCTAGCCCAAGTCCCGAAACATATTGCCAAGTACAACTGGTTTGTTACCACTAGACCAACACGCAATGCCTTATCACTGCCCCGAGCTAGTTCCTCTCTGTTTTTGAAATCCCCTTTCTTCTCAGCATACTCCCTTTGGTCTAACCTGCCTACTAGCATTAAGACATGCCAGGATATCAGGAAATTCACAGTCCAGCTTTCCACACTGTCTCATCCGAAGTGATCCCATGTATTATTAATGTGCCTCCCTTTCTTTTTCTCTCCCTATCTCCTTTCCCTCTCTGACAGCATCTTTCTTTTTTTTCCCTTTTAGCTTGCCGTGGTTGGCTATCACCTGACCTCTCATGTTTATTGGCAGTCTTCGGACGGGCCAGGAGATGTTGAATAAATAAATAAATAAATAAATAAACGTGCCTCTAAATACTCTCTGTATCGAAATTTGTTCATCTGTGCAACGAGGCTTCCAGAGCGGTGCCAGCGTCTCAAGCAGATTCGTGCCTTCATCCAGCAGGGAGCTGTGGGTGATTCCGAGTTGAAGCGACTGCTACAATCAGCATCAGCAGATATGGCCCGTCGTCTGGAGCACTTGTCTTCCAGTGGTGTCTCCAGCTGGCAGAATACGCTGCCATTGAGAGAGCATGGATATCACCTGTCCAAAGGAGACTTCCGGGTTGCGTTGGCATTGCGATATGACTGGGCACTGGCTGACGTGTCCAATACATGCACTTGCGGCAAGCCATTTAGTTCTGCTCATGCCATGTCCCGCCCCACCGGTGGTTTCCCTACAATACGACACAACGAAGTCCGAGACATTGTTGCTGATCTGTTCACTGAGGTTTGCTCAGACGTTGCGATTGAGCCGCAGCTGGCTCCGATGTCGGAGGAGGTATTTGCATCAGCCTCCACCAACACGGCCATCGAATGCTCGTGCCGATATCCGGGCTCGAGGGCTTTGGACCCGGGCCTTTCTGGATGTGCGTGTTTTCCATCCAGATTCACCATCCTACTCCACTAGACCGCTCGACAAACTTCTGGTGGAACATGAGAGGAGAAAGAAGTCAGAGTACGCCGAGCGTATCATCAACGTGGATCGTGGAACATTTACTCCATTAGTTTTCACCACGGCCGGTTGTTGTGCGCCCGAGTGCTCCAGATTTGTTAAGCACCTCTGTGGTCTCATTTCGAAAGGAGACAAGTGGTATGCCGAGACGATGACCTACCTCCGGTGTTGGCTTGCGTTTGTTTTGCTGCGATCTGCGACCATGTGCGTTCGTAGCGCCCGTTCATCGTACCACCGTTCCGTAAATGCCTTGCTGGATCTGGCAACGGGTATGAGGGAAGGAAACTGGATCCATATTATCAAGAGTCCATAAACAAGAGTATGCAACTGTGATCTCTTTTCTATGGGCCAGATACGCGGCATGCTGCCTTCATTACATCATTCAGCTGCAGTCCGCGCACTGCGGAAAATCAAAAATCGCACTTTCCCTCTGGTTTGAAATGGACTTTCGTACGGAACTGGAGTTCACGCGCCAAAATTTAGAGATCAGGTAGGTACTGCAACGAATCGAGCAAAAACGGATGGGCTCGTACGAGAAATTGTGAGTTTGAATGCATGCTTTCAGAGTGTGGTGAAGGCAAGTTACGTAATGAAGGCAGCGAGCCGCGCACCAACCCATAACCACAGTTGCATACTCTTGTTAGTGCACTCTTGATATCATGGGTGTGTGTGTTGTACGGGTTCTAATAGTGTTTATGTTGCATTTCTAACGGGAGCTTGGTTTGCACGCCTAGCATCTTTTTTCATGATTACTTTCTGGCATAAAATTGTTTTCTTTCTTTTACGGGCAACAAAACACAATTTGCCAAGATGAAGGATGTTAACACAACTTAATGTTCTAATCCTTCATGATGGTATTGAATTGTATTTGTTTGCGCGTAAAAGAGGCATCAAGTCAGACCTCGATTAACCGCACACATGTCGTATCTGCATACCGTAGTTCCGCGCATATAAGCCCATGGGCTTATATTATGTGAAACAATGCAGTTTGGGGATAAAATATCCAGTAAAACATGTTCGTTTTTTAGCCCATGGGCCAATATTCGAATTTTGAAGGTTCACGAAAAAGTACAAGTCCATGCTCATGGTCAGTCTACCATACTCTACTGGTAAACTGCACTGACCTGCTGTACCATGGTAGGAAGAGTCCATTTTGTGAAAAATTCTACTTGACACGTGAGTTGCATTTGTGTCTGTTTATTAGCCCATGGGCTTATAAACGGAGGTGCGCTTATATCCGGATATAGGCCCATGGGCTTATATCCGGATATAGGCCCATGGGCCTATATCCGGATATAGGCCCATGGGCCTATATGCGCGGAATTACGGAATACGTGTACAGTCAACTTTGCTTATAATGACACTCGGCGGGGCAGCAGAAAAGTGTCCTTATTCGCGAAGTGTCGTTATACCCAAAGTCTCATTATTATGTGTCACAGTTGGATGGGACGTTGCTCTGGGCATGAAAATTATGTCGTTATTCGCGAATTGTCGTTATATCCGCAGTCGTTATTAGCCAAGTTCACTGTACATGCACGTTCTTCACATTCATTTCAAGCTGATATTGAACATTGCCTCAAATGGTCAAGAACCACTGCCATGAAATTTAACACCAGCAAGTGTGTTCATATGTCCTTTCGGAAACATGCTGTGACTCATCTGTGTGAATGGGAATCGCTCCAATGGCGTCGTCAAATTCTCTCTCTAGTTTATTTTCATCATGTATTCTACCAATTTCCAGCACTACTGAGCCAGTTTAGTTTCACCATCTCCAGCAGCTGCCGCCACCCTTCCTCTATCGTTTTGCCTCGTTCTGGAACTCATTTCTTTAAATCTCCTCTTTTCGGTTTATCAGTTCACGGTCTGGAACAAGCTTCCTGAGAGCCTACGCAGGGAGCGATCTTCTGCTAAGTTTCGGTTTCTCCTGAAGGACCATTATTTAACGTACAAATTCTCCACCACTGGAATTCCTGATTTTCGTATCTACCTCTCGTCATGTATTCTGTTTCTCCCTGGTGGTTTTACCTGTAGTTTTCCCTGAGCAGTGTTTCTGCTCAGTACTATTTTCCCTTCTCCCTTCTCACTTCCCTTTCGTCTCATCCACCCTTCCAGGAAACCCCCGATAAGTATCCATTTACTTTTGGAGAATCCTTCAAATAAAGTCTAAAATGTAAATTTCCACCATCGTTCCTTCTTTGTTCGTCACAGGTTTCAAATAATTTTAATTATAACTAATTTTGTAATTTTGTATCCTTCTTTTTTGTTTGCGACAAATTCAATGAAGCCTTCGTGGTATAGCGGTGGATGTGTTCAACGGCAGAGACATCAGATAATACGGACTGGCTGTAGCTGTATTTGAGAAGGTGTCGGGCCATCAAGCGGGCCGAATAAGAAAGGAGATGAAATACATCCCAGAGCCT